ACAAAGGAATAAGTCTGGTGTTGAGAATACCCAAGAATAGTTTAATTGTTCTAAAAGGAATGACTTCTGTGAGCTGTTGTATCCCTGAAGGCACAAGAGAACAGAGCCGTTATGAGCACTGGAAGAACTTGAGGTGGGTCACCTGCCAGATTATGGGCTGGGTCCAGGGGTGCAGCCAGCTGAAGCATCTTTGCAGGAACTGGGGAAGAGGAAAACCACTTTGACCTCACTTTCTTCCCAGCTAGTGACAATCACTCACTAATCCCTTTAGCAGATAGAGCACAGGAGTCCATTAATGCTATTATTATGTTAATACATTGAGTATCCTGGCTCAACAAGAAATTTAAAATGGGTGTAGAATGGATTTGGAAAGATAAAAGTATTCAGCATATAACAAAAATACTGGTATTGAACTTATGTGCATTAATATACCAATATATACATGTGAATATGTCTGGAACATGTAATCTATGTGCACACATAGATTGAGTTAAATTCTAAACAACTCAAGAGAGAATGATGGGGCCTCCCTGGTGGAGCAAGGGGTTAAGATGCAGCACATACAAAGCTATCAGCAGCCACTGCAGCGCTAGCTGGATCCTGGCTGGCCAGGGAACTACCCACACGGCACAGCAGACCTCTCCTGTCTCGCCCGCTGCTCCCCTCAGCAGTGTATTTCAGTCAGTCTTCCTGTTCTACTCCCCACACTGTCTCTGGTGAATCCTCTCACCCTCCCGCACCTCTGGTCTATACCCCAGTTCTTGTATGCATAAATAAATCTTTTTTTTTTAAAAGAGAGAGAGAGAAAATGAGGATAAAAATTATGACTGGCTACATTTTTCCCAGGGACTCACAGTCTCTACAATACTTTTGTGCATCTTTAAACAATAACCAATTTGTCAACCTGCAAGTTTTCTTAATTGTCTTGTTAATTATTTCCCAAGCTTATGAATTCCTGAGGGGTTGCAGAGATCTACAACTCTGGGGAGATAAAAACGGATATTAAAGATTCTGGAACAGGCAGACTTGAATTCTGCAAAGGTGATGGTGTTGCAGAGAATTTTAGGTAAGTTGCCTAATTCAGATATTAGTATTCCACTGTTTCTTTATGACCAGCCCAAGGATCACTGACAGACTAAGATGTAAATGCTAAAGAAGGGAACTCTTTGGAAATGTCTTTATCACCTTCACTTTCTGAAACTGATGAAAGATCAGCAAGAGAAGGAGCATCTTTCACTACTAGAGACAAAAAGGAGCAATTGATGTAAATAGGACAAAGATGGGGAAAAAAAAACAAAATACACAACAAGCAACTATGAGAAACCACTCAGCAAAAAACAGTCCTGTTAATATCAAAAGAGCATCTTAGGTGACAGGAGGAAGGAAGGAACAGACACAACTAGAGATTGCTGATCTAAAAGACAAAAATTTTCCTGAGATGTTTCAACTGTCATTCTTTTTGATATTCTTTTAGAAAAAACAAAGTCATGAGTCCTGGAGAAGAATTCTGGACAAGACAGACTCATTTCTAAATACCAAAAGTCATATTTTAATAATTTTGTGTAGAAAATACATTTAGTTTATAATACAAAACGGACCATTAATTATGGGTTGTATAACATCTTAGCTGACACCAGATTGTCATAATATTCTAGTTTTGATTAGTAATACAGAACTCAACTACTCAATCCAGTCTCTTCCTAAGCAATATTAATCTTGTAGTAAAGGATGAAAATCTTTTGCACCCAAACATAAACATCCTATCTTCCTCATTTAATGACTGGATGGACGTTTGGGGATTGAACAAAGACCTTAATAATTACATGGCTTTGAAATCTACTCTATTTTACAAATAAACACAAAGCTTATATTACTAGGTTTTGATGTATATCATCTTGGCTAGGAATTCAAACTTGAGAGATTATTATTTGTTTTGTTTAGAGCTTTATCGAGAATTAGTTACCTGGGCAGAAAAATCTTTTTTTTTTTAAAGATTTATTTTTATTTATTTATACAAGCACTGGGTACAGTCAGAGGCACAGGAGGGTGAGAGCATTCACCAGAGCCAGAGTGGAGAGCAGACAGACTGATGAAATACACTGCTGAAGGGAGCAGCGGGCGGCAGGAGAGGTCTGCGCGACATGTGGGACCCTCACCCGGTGGCCGGGGGTCAAACTGGTGCTGCAGAGGCTGCGGGCAGCTTTGCAACCCAGCACTCAACCGCTGCTCCACCAGGAAGGCCCCAAGAAAAATCTTATCAACAATAAAAAAACTCTTGATGTTTAGGTCACAAATGCTTTTGTAATAATTCTGCATACACAAGTAGTTCATTAAGTGTTCCGGTATCGACACATTGAAATTCACATTATTTTATAATAAATCCATTATTACCACCTTATAATAATTTTATTATGAACTACTTTTTTATCATATTTATGTTACACTTAGGATATTTTTCCATACATGTATATGTTTATAGGTAGATTATGTTGACTATTTTAGGATCAAAAAGGAAGCATTAAAATGTTGGCTAAAAAGTGAACATTTTTTACATGGCAATATTACTACAAATAATATCAAATAATATTGATTTAAATATTAAAATAAAGCTGTGTCATTGTTTTTAGACCCCAGAAGATTTATAATGACATCACATCTTTCTTTTTGTTTGACATAACCAGATTGATTAATAGAATGGAGATTTATCGGTCTCTATTCTGAAATTTCATCCTGATTCTGAGTCTGGCTCTCTCCCTTTGTCAAAGATTCTAGCAGGACCTCCCTGGTGCAGAGGGTTGAGCACAGCACTGTGAAGCTGTCTGCAGCCTCCGCAGTGTGTGATCCCAGGTCAGCCAGGGAGCAACCCACATGGTGCAGAACTCTCCTGTCTTGCCTGCTGCTCCCCTCAGCAGTGTATTTCGGTCAGTCTGCCTGTTCTGTTCCCCACTCTGACTCTGGTGAATCCTCTTACTCCCCACAACTCTGGCCTATACCCAAGTTCTTGTATGTATAAGTAAATAAATCTTTAAAAAAAAAAAAAAAGACTTAAAAAAAAAAAAAGAAGATTCTGGCATAGTAGCTCAGGGGTGAGAGAACTTCTGTGTTTGTGGAGAATAGGGAAGGCAAAACTTTGCCTTAGTATTTTCAGCTGGACCTGATAATGAATTTATCAAAGATTCATTAACAGGAGAAAAACACACAAATGTATTTAATATAAGTATGTGAATACGAGAATTCAATAAGGAAATGAAAAACCAAAGAAAAAATAAAACCCAAGTGTTCTTATAGTATGTTGGATATAAAAGAAGCAATTGTGCAAATGTAACTCAGATACATAGGTAGACTAAAGAAAGAAAAGAATAACTTTAAAGAGAAGAGCAAAAATTTGAAGGAATCACAGCAAAGCTCAGGCCAAGAGCAAGCATGAAAAATAGATAAATTGGAATTTAGCAAGTTTTAAGAGTTTTGTATATTAAGGAGTACATCCAGCAATTAAAAAACAGCCCAGAGAACAGGAGAAAATGCTTACAACTCATGCATCTATAAAGGAATTATGTCCATATGTAAAAATATATAATTCAACAATGAAAACACAGAAACATCCAGTAAGAGGTGAGCCAAAGATTTAATAGGTATTATCCAAAGAAAATATTCAATAAGTACATGAAACAATGTTGAACATCATCATTAGTCATTAGGAAAATGAAATGAAAAACCACAATATTATACCACTCTAAACCCACAAAGATAGCTAGAGTAAAAAATACAGACAATAATGTTGTCAGTTGGGATAAAGAGGAGTCAGAAGCAGGTGGGACTGAAATATGGTAGTGTTACTTGGAAGACAGTTTGGTATTTTCTCAAGAGGATGACTACATTTTCACCATGTAACTCAGCAGTCCTCCTAGATACCTACTCAAGATCAGTGAAAACATATCCATATAAAACATGTTCATAGCATTATTGTCCATGTTTGCTCCCCCAGAAGAAACAATAGAACATACACCGATTGATGAATGGTAGACAAAATAGAACAGGACCATATTACTTGTCAATAGAGAGGAATAAAGTAACAATACATACTGTGGCGTAGATTAAAAAGAATTTTTTTAACAAACTTGTTTTGGGAAAGCTTACTTTCATCTCAATTTCTTGTTCTTGATAATGAGGACACTTTTCTCCTGGTAAAGCAAGGCAGGGGGTTACGTGTGAGAATTTCATTTTCTGATTTCAGGAAGAAAAGGAGAGTGCTGAATGTCTCTTTCATGTTTGTGTTTTGTTTTGTATTTAATATCATTATTTCAAGTGAATTCTTATGACAAAATGGCATCTCTTGGATGAGCATATTCTTCAGCTTTCCAATGCTATCACCTTATCAATCAAAAACAAAAACAAAAAAACTTTCCTGTGTCTCGTGAGCTTTGAATAACTTCACCTTTGTTTTTTTTTTTTGTTTTGTTTTGTTTTGTTTTGTTTTGTTTAAGGAAAAGGGAAAGGGAGTTTTTCCTCTCAATGTCCTAACTGAATTAAGGCTTCCAAGTGTGTTTTACCCCATCCCTCAGTTTTTATTTTCTTGTATCAACTAACATTAACTGAATATATTTCTATATTTATTTGTTTACTTGTATGCATCTCTCCCATCTAAATAAAGTTTCTGTAGACTAAGAGCCACCTTATTACTCACCCTGCTATATCCCAACACCTAGACAGCACCTGGGAATCAAGACATAATTTCTTGATTCAATTTCTTAAAAATGAATAAACCCCAACAGCACTAAAGTTGTCCTAAAGTAAAATACACTATATTGAAAAGAGTATGTTGAGACTCAAGAAACTCACATCACCTGCCCAAGTCAGGCAAGATTCCTCATCAACTCTCCCAGGTTCTATCCCCATAGCCTTGATCTCACCCTGGGCCCATCACAGACAATGCCCTCCTTGACTCTTAGTTGAGAAAATTAAACTCTTCACTGCCTCATTAGGTCAGGTCTCTTTGAAGCATGAAGAGAAGCAATCATACAGTCACAGACTTCATCCTGGTGGGCTTCACAACAGACCCTGTGATGCAGCTGGTCCTGTTTGTGCTGTTCCTCGGCGTCTACTCTCTCACCCTCATGGGAAATTCAACCCTCATGGTGCTCATCTGCAATGACTCCCGACTGCACACGCCCATGTATTTTTTCATTGGCAATCTCTCCTTTCTGGATCTCTGGTATTCCTCTGTCTACACCCCAAAAATCCTAGTGACCTGCATCTCTGAAGACAAAAGCATCTCCTTTGCAGGCTGTGTAGCTCAGTTCTTCTTCTCTGCTGGGCTGGCCTATAGTGAGTGCTACCTGCTGGCCGCCATGGCTTATGACCGCTATGTGGCCATCTCCAATCCCCTCCTTTATGCTCAGGCCATGTCAAGGACATTGTGTATCTCTTTAGTTGTTTATTCCTATATTGGAGGTTTTGTCAATGCAATCATACTCACGAGCAACACATTCACATTGGATTTTTGTGGTGACAATGTCATTGATGACTTCTTCTGTGATGTCCCACCCCTGATAAAACTGGCATGCAATGTGAAAGAAAGCTACCAGGCTGTGTTATACTTTCTGCTGGCTTCCAATGTCATTACCCCCACTGTGCTCATCCTGGCCTCCTACATGTTCATCATTGCTGCCATCCTGAAAATCCGCTCTACCCAGGGACGTCTCAAAGCCTTCTCTACTTGCTCCTCCCACCTGGTCTCTGTCACCTTATACTATGGCTCCATCCTCTACATCTACTCTCGTCCAAGTTCCAGCTATTCTCTTGAGAGGGACAAAATGGTCTCTACGTTTTATACTGTACTGTTCCCCATGTTGAACCCCATGATCTATAGTCTAAGGAATAAAGATGTGAAAGAAGCTCTGAAAAAGCTCTTTGGGTTCACACAATCTGAAATCTAAGTTAACATAAATTCTTCAAATCAGTGCTCAGCGAAAATGGACTGCTTCAGGGTACACTGGCAAAATGAGATTAAAAAAAAAAAAAAAACATTTTCTTTAACTCAAAGAAATCCAATGAAAAAGATTTTGTTTGCATTGTTGTTTTTCCCTTCAGTAATTATAGGTTATAGTCAATTACTATAATCTATACTAAAAAACAGATTCAATTTAATAAAAAGTTTTTTTAACAACATCAGGGTTTGATGCAGAAGAGAAATGTATAAGTAATCCCAAAGGATTAAACTTTCTCTATTATCACCCTTGAGAGTGACTCAATTTTCTTCTCAAATGATGGGTCTTATGATGATGTGAAGAAAATGTTGTATAAGAGGTAGAGATTTGTGGAATAAATTCCTAATCCTTATTGTCCAGTACTTATAGAACTTCTGTGCAAATAATAGGATATAAAATGTGAAGAATATTGTATGAAAAGAGAAAAGGCAGTGACATGCTATTTAGTGAACGCAGAGGAAAAGGAAGACCAGACATGACATAGCTAATACAAAAGAAGTGGCTACAATTATTTGTTCTCAATTTTTAATAAATGCCTTTTATTAATTTAAAAGTGCACATTACAACAGTAGTCTATAATCTTTCCATGACAAAGTTCTAATATCTGAGGTAAAAGATATTCATTTGTTTTATGTAACTAACCTGAAAGTGCAGTGTTTTTGTAAAGAGTATTTTAAAAAATACCAATTAAACCTATCATGTACTGAATATGGAGTTGTAAATGTTTTTGTAGTTAGAACATACTGGTGGAAAAAAAAAGAAGCATTGGGTCTAGAATAATGTAGAGTTTTTGTATATTGGGCTGTTTATTTTCATTTGCCCCACTTGTTATTTTCATTCAGGGGGAATAGGTACTAGAGTGAAATAAAGAGGAGCATAACAGGGTTCCCATACTCTGCGGGTTACTCTTCAGCATAATAAACAATCCCAGAAACACATTTTTCTCCATGGACTTAGAAAGGGATCTTGGTGTTCTCTTTTTTGCAATCTAAACAACACAAATATTTAGCCTAAGATTATATTGATGTAGGAGACACAAAATACACTAATATATATTCTGTATTCACCAGTTTTATGAAGAAATTTGGAAGGATTACCTTAACAAAAATGAATATTTCTAAAATCTTGAGTAAATTTCCAACAATAGAGCCAGTTCCAAATTATTCCCTACACAATAAAGTTTTCTACTCAATCCTCAAAATCAAAATGCATGCACAGAAACCATCTACTTTCTCTCTCCAAGTTCCCCAAAAACAAATTTTATTTAAATCAGGTATGGCAAAGAAGTGAAGTACGATATCATGTAACATCAAATAACCCAATAGTATAGGTTTAAAATAATTTATTCACAATAAAATAATAACAAGAGTGGTTTGATCAATGTTTCAGAGTTTTAAGTATAACTTGCAGCATTTATATGAAAGATTGCAACATTTATCGACATGTACACAAACCAAGAATTTGGGAATTGCAATGAGGGCATTCTGCAAAATAGGTGACCTCATCTCTGTGGCCTTAGAGTCTGCATTGCCTTGCAGAAGGCCTCTTTGACATCTTTGTTTCGCACACTGTAGATGAGAGGGTTGAGCAAGGGGTTGATCACAGTGTAGAACAGGGCAGCCAGTTTGTTCTTCTCCGGGGTATAGGTGGAACTTGGCCTGGAGTACATGAACAACAAGGATCCATAAAAGAGCATGACGGAGACCATGTGTGAAGCACAGGTGGAGAAGGCCTTGAACCTTCCTGAGGCCGTGCGGATCTTCAGAATAGCCAGGAAGATATTGAAATATGAAATCAGGATGACAAGAATGCTGGAGAGGACCGTGAAGCCCACCACACCAAGAAGGACTTTTTCATAGACCTGAGTGTCTGTGCAAGACATTTTTAGCAAAGGAGGGACATCACACAAGAAGTCGTCAATGATATTTTTACCACAGAAACTCAGGCGGAAGGTGTTGGCTGTATGGGCTATGGCATTCAAGACCCCGCCTATGTAGGAGCCAGCAACAAGTCCAGTACAGAGAGAATTGGACATAGCACTTGAATAAAGCAATGGGTTGCAGATGGCTGCGTAGCGGTCATAGGACATGGCAGCAAGGAGGTAGCCCTCAGTGTAGGCCACCAGACAGGAAAAGAAGAACTGAGCTCCACACCCAGCCAAGGACATGCGCTCAACTTCTGAAATACAAGTGGCCAGGATCTTGGGAGTATACACAGAAGTGTACCAGAAATCCAAAAAAGACAGATTGCCAATAAAAAAATACATAGGGGTGTGCAGGCGGGAATCAATGTGGATTAAGATAACCAAGGTCATGTTGCCAGACAAGGTTACCAAGTAGAGCATCAGAAATAATCCAAATAGAATCAGCTTCCACTGGGGGTTTGCAGAGAAACCCACCAAGATGAATTCAGTCAGGATGGTGCGATTGCCAACTTCCATGTCTGCAGAGGAGAAAGACTGATAAGGAATGGGGGGGGGAATGATTTAGGATTTGATAAATAATGATATCAATTAAGTCAGCCATTACCAAGAGGTTTACATATTTATAGCTATGACTATCTGGAATGACAGAACTTGGGTTTGTTTTGTGAAGGTAACTGGAGAATGGAACTGGAATCTGATTTTGAAACTAGGGGTTTCACATAGTAAATATTTGATGCAGAGAAAGGCACTGGGGATTTGACGTAGTAAATATTTGATGCAGAGAAAGGCCCTACTTGTCGATAAACAAGAAAAATAAAAAAATCACATCCTCTGACTAAGTCAGGTCAAATCTTACTAGGTAAAGAAGAGTTGAAAAGACCCAGATGTGTATTTGTATGTCTCTCCACTTTCATAGGGACACTCAAATAATTTTCATATCCTTTATACATTATTGATGATCTATGTGTCTTATGCTGACAGTTACACAAATACGAACAAACTGTTCTATGGCTGCTAGTAACATTAATATATTCTTGTTCCAGTTGGTGCTTTAAATTCTAATCTGAATCCATGTTATCCTTCCCACGACATCATAAGGCAGGTGCTATTATGATCCTTGTAGGATTTAAGAAGATTTTCCAAGGTTACAGGACTGATCAACAGCAGAGGAAGTATTTGAACCCAGAATTTTCTTTATCATGAGTGTGTGCTCTTACTGTTAAGCCATTTATGTCTTTTATAGATGAATCCTTTACATTGTTCTCTTGCTAAGATAATGTTGTAACTTTCTGACAACCTGAAAATCATTACTTATTAATAAGAGCTTTAAAAATATTTTTAATAATGCTTCCCCCCACCTCCTCTTGTTCACATGAGGTTTATATTCATATCAGGGATTTTTATATAGGAGATGCTGACCATTAGGAAGAACCCAAGTATCGGTGCCAAGAATTCATGAAAAGTCATGAAATCTTTGAAGTTCATATCTTGAAGCTCCATAAATATCAGAGAGAAACTAAAAGGAGGTTCTAATTTAAACCATTGCAGACTTAGGGCTGCTTCTGCATTAGAGAAACAGCCTGGTTTTCCAAGGACCAGCTGACTTTTCCCTCTAGCTGAAATGGATTTGGGAAAAATCTAACGCTAACAAAGGACTTTGATTGGCCTTCATGTTTAAAATATTTACCTTTAAGATAAGGCAGAGTTTGTTTGTGACTAGAATGCACACGTTGGTTTTCTGTCTCAATGTCTACTCTCTCCCTCTATTAGGAAGTAAGGCAGCTTCATTTTTAAATACCCACTCTCCTAATCTGTTGTAACTGATGGTGTTCAGAGAGGACATGACTTGATGGTAACACTGTGTAAACACAGCTGGGCATCCTGCAGAGCTACAGTCTTTACAGTGCCCAGTATCTCCTCACTGCATGCAAAGCACAGAGGCTGTAGACCCACAGCCACTGTTCTGTGAGTTGCCTCAGCTCACCTCTGTAGCCCTAGTTTGCACTTGTCTACATCTATTTGCGACTTCAATTATAGTGCCAAACTCTAATATTTAAAAGAGAAAGAAACAAACTAAACCACAAATCAGTCCTCTTTAGGACATATTGGAGGAGGGAAACACAATTCCTAACTAGTTTCCTGATTTCAAAAGTCGATTCTGTTGATCTACCTGTGAATCTGGGATGGTCGTGTGGTTTTTTGAACCCAATAACTTGCCACATAAGCCACAGAATGTGCATGTCAGATTGGGGATGTGTCCTGAAAAAGAGGCTGCATCCCTCTGTGACCTCAGCTAATAGCACTGGCCCCCAGGTTTGTGAGTGGGTCCACTTTATGATCTAGCCTCCAGCTAATCTAACAGAGAACCACAGATCAAGAACTTTGGTGCAAGCCCGGCTCTCAGCAAGCAGGTCTGGCATAGGAAACCTTCTTTCACTGCATAACTGGAATGGCACCTTACTTCAAATCCTGATTTAAAAGCTCTTTAATTTTGGGAATAAATAACTTCCCATTCATTTTTATTCACCAAAATAAGCAGGGAAAACATCAGGATTGTATGTATAAAATGCATAGTCACATGTAGACACAGGAAGTACTTAACTAAGGATTTTTTTTTCAAAAGGAAAAATAATTCCTGACTTATTTATAAAATCTGAGGTTTAGGGGCCTCCCCTGGTGGCACAGCAGTTAAGCGCTGGGCTTCAAAGCTGTCCGCAGCCTCTGCAGTGATGGTTCGATCCCCGGCCACCGGCGAGGGTCCCACAAGGCGCGCAGACCTCTCCTGCCACCCGTTGCTCCCCTCAGTAATGTATTTCATCTGTCTGCCTGTTCTGTTCCCTGCTCTGGCCCTGGTGAATTCTCTCACCCTCCCACACTTCTGACTGTACCCAGTGCTTGTATAAATAAATAAATAAATCTTAAAAAAAAAATCTGAGGTTTAGGGAAAAAGATAATAGGATATGCTTCTAGAGGAAATGGTATCCTCCAGTAACCTTCTCATATCCTGAAGGTTGATTCCTTCACT